CGTTTCGACAAGGTTTTGTCATCATCAGGTACATGTTATGTTAAACTTATATAAAGTTTTTCTTCATTACCCATTCAAGCCGTCTCCAACTATTATTAGTCTCAAAGTGGGTTCCTCGTCATCGAAAATACAGAACATGTTCTGAAATCATGGAATGGAGTTCTCTACAAGTGTCTACAATGTAGTATTGAACAAATACATAACATGCAAAAGACTGCAAAGAGAACAGCAACTCTATTACAAATAGCAACCATTTTCGTCTTACTCTGTTACCCACAACAACCCTTTTCTTCCTACTCTGTTACACATAGCAACCACTTTCTTCCTAGTCTGTTACCCATAGCAACCATTTTCTTCCTACTATGTTACCCATAGCAACCACTTTCTTCCTACTCTGTTACCCATAGCAACCCCTTTCTTCTGATAGGTAAAATTCATTAACAAAACCTGAAAAAGTATTTTGTTTACTTTAGATGTTGCATTGAATACTTTTGCATTTGTTAATACAGTTGAAATTGTGCGAATAATTTTTCTTTCTTTTAAAGTGTTCTAGAATTTATCATTTATTTTGAGCTGTGCTAAACATCGTGAGGAAGAAGAAAGGTCGATAAATGTCATTCTGAAAGTATTATTTTATTTGTTTGTTATGCATATTAATATGTTATGGATTATGTATACAATAGAAGTTATTACCTTCCCAGCGAGGTACAAACAGTCTGCCAGGAACTCCGGAAGTGGCTGTAACAGTGACAGAGAAACGTCTTCAAAATGGCCGCCAAGTTCAACCTTGAGGTCTTCAGTCAATGACTTGAAAGTAAAGATGACGACGAAAAACTTAGTGAGTTTTGATAAAGTAAACATGGAGATTGTATGAAGTTCATGGAAGTTTTAGAAAACGGATAATTTTACTGAGTTTATTTGTAATTAAGGTCCCTGTCAAAAAACAAAGACGTGAACTCATTGATATTGAGATCTGATATGTTTATAATAAATTAATATCAATCTCCAGACGAGAAAATATCTACTGAATTTTGCTAAGATAAACAGAGAAATATAATATTTATTTGTATACTAAGGAAACAGATTGGAAGTGTCTAATAAGTAGATGTTGACAGATGGGAGAAAAGATGATAAAGTATTGTTGTCTATAGAAGAAGAGTACTGGTAAATATAGTTTTACAGACAAGAGAGGAGAAGAGGGAAGACTGATAAAATATAATATTTACAGACAGGAGAAAAGTATTGATAAATATAGTTTACAGACAAGAGAAGAGAAGAGGGAAGACTGATAAAATATAATATTTACAGACAAGAGAGGAGAAGAGGAATGACTGATGAAATATAATATTTACAGACAGGAGAAGAGTATCGATAAATATAGTTTTACAGACAAGAGAGGAGAAGAGGAATGACTGATAAAATATAATATTTACAGACAGGAGAAGAGTATTGATAAATATAGTTTTACAGACAAGAGAGGAGAAGAGGGAAGACTGATAAAATATAATATTTACAGAAAGAAGAGTAGAAGAGGGAATACTGATAAAATATAATATTTACAGACAGGAGAAGAAGGAATACTGATGAAACATAATATTTACAGAAAGAAGAAAAGTTGAGACTGATAAAATATAATATTTACAGACAGTAGAAGAGAGAATACTGATAAAATATAATATTTACAGACAGAAGAAGAGTGGAGACTGATAAAATATAATATTTACAGACAGAAGAGTAGAAGAGGGAATGCTGATAAAATATAATATTTACAGACAGGAGATGGTAAATCCTAAATGTTTATGACATGTTAGTCTTAAGGTAAACATCGCTTCTTTATTTTTTATCAACTTTTGAAAACTTGTTTGATTAGATTGGTCAACAAAAACCTGTTACATGCGAACATTTAGTTTCAAGATCTGTTTCAGTGAAACTTCCTATGACTAGTTACTTGTAACTAGTGTCCGGTACCGTATGTTTAAACATGTAGATCATGCAGGGCTTTTCCCTAATGATTTGTTTTTTGAGTTGTATTGTTACGCCTCCAGTCGTTAATTGATTTTCCGTAACTTCGTTCCGACTGGAATTTTAGCGACACAAGTCCTTACTTAATAAAACTGGTTTATTCTTTCTGAATATAACTTTACCGATACACT